CTACCCAGCAGGAGCTATGAAGAGATCTGCAGATTCCCCTTCTTTGTTTGGGGTTTGGAGGTGCCCAGATGAGGTCCAGCTGTGAAGCAATGCAAGCTGCTGTGGGGCCTTGGGCCTACTCTTGGAAGTTCTGGGTCTGTCTGGCCCAGCTGCAGTTTGTTAGGTAATTTTCAGATTGCAAAGGGCCAGGCATTCATATTCAAAAACCTCTGCCGCAGCTTGGGTGGGGCGGGGTCTCAGGGAATCAACAGGGCGGAGCAAGCAGCTATGGCTGATCCTCAGCCGTGCCCTAAGAGGCCCTGCCTCTCAGTGTCCTGATAATCGCCGCCAGCACCTCTGAGAGAAAGCCACCCTTGAGTTCTGAGTTCTGCCTGCTGCCAGATAGTCCAGTTTCTCCCTGTATGAGTCTGGGTCCCCAGAGACTCACCCAGAACTGGAGTTCAGAGCAGTTGGGGCCTTGTGACTCCCTCCCGATTCAAAAAGACAGCCACGTCCTCAGTTGCCAGCCCTTGCCACATGCGCCTCTGTACCTCTGCACTTCCGCACCTCCTCTGAGTCTCGGTGTGCTTTTCTCTTTCCTTCTAGTTGTAGAATTTCCACTCAGCCAGCCTTCCTGTGGTTCTGGATGATGTCCGTTTTGTCTTTTAGTTGTATTTTTGAAGTTGTTGTGGGAGGCAGCAATTTCCGGTGTTTACCTATGCCGCCATCTTGGTTTCTCCTCAAACCTTTTGATGTACAGGATGATCCTCCAACCTACTGAGCCACGCTGGTCAGGGCTGGGAAAGGATCTTTAGCTACAAAAAGGGCAGCAGAAATTATCTTCCCTTATTTAAAACAGGTTCCTGCCGTGCTCAGAGTTGCCCTCTCCTCATTCTCCTCTGAATAGGATAGACGATCTGTCTGGGAATGGCAGCAGAGACCTGCACTTTCCATATATAGTAAGGGCTCAATAAAAATACAGCGGGGCCTTGACTTACGAGTTTAATTTGTTCTGAGACTGAGCTCATTAACTCAAATTACTCTATCAACTCAATGCAAAAAATTGGCCGAGAGACAGCTGGTATCTCAAAAAACTCGTTAGTCGGGACACTCGTAAGTCAAGGCCCAAGTGTACCTGTGAAAATTGACAAAATATACTTCTCATAAAGAAGTTCTTTTTAGCCCGCTAAATGAGAATTTACAAAGAAGGGAGGAGCTCTCCTGAAATGCAGGGGTTCCCTGGGCTGTCTTTATACATCTGCACTGCAAAATAAACAAAGGTGACTGAATTGTTTGAGAATAAATTACATTTCCGTGCTTTCCTGTTTCCTGTTTTCTTGTTTAAGCAGGTGGTTGACTGTCTTCCTTGTGGAATGCAGAGCAGAACACTATAAAATAGTCCTGAGGAGGGCTGGTGGCCCGCTTGCTGAATCACTCGGCAGAGAAGCTAACTTTGTCCCTCATAATACTGACCTGTACGGTGTCTTCTGAAATTTAAATGTGTAGATGTATAAGAAGTGGGAAGCCTCACAACAAAAATCTGGTTTCCTGTTTTTCTTTTAAAAACGTGAAAATAACTCAAGCAACCTTGTTTGCCCATCTGGCAACAACAAGCTGGATTTGAGCTGCAGCTGTTGCATTTAGAATGGCAGATTAATTGGGATAACATCAGCTGCTGGAACAAATAGCTCCTCAGATTTTAGTGGCATGAGGCAAAGTTAGTCAATTTCTCCCTTATGTGTCCAGAGCAGGTGGTTCATAGACAGGGCCTCCTTCCTTCCTGTGATGCCACCAGTCCCCGAGGGACGTGGAACTTTGAGTTCAGCCTGTGGAATGGGAAAAAGCAAGTGGAGAAGCACACTGTTTCTCAACCACCTTAGTCTGAAAGTGACAGTCTCTGCTCCCTTCCATTGGTGGGGCCCAGTCACGTGACTCACCTAGATGCAAGGGGAGCTGGGAAATGTGGAGCCTGGCTGGGCAGCCACTTCCTGGTGATGACTATTCCATGGAAAGGGAAGCACAAACATGTGTTGGCCTTGTGCAACTCCACCGCAAATGGGCATGCACCAGTTCACCTGAGTCCTACCATCACCTTTTTATCTCTGAATAGCCCTGGAGGCACTGTGGTTTGTGGCTCTGGCTTAAGGTGTTTGTGGACAGAGTGTGAGGAAGAAACATAGATGAATTCTTCCTAGGATGAAAAAGAGGTTTCCTTGGGCAGGGAGGAAGAAAGAGAAACAGGCCAGTGGGTCTCTGGGAAGAGGGTCTGTGTGCCTTATTTCCTTGCAACATCATCTAGGAAACTGCAATACCTTGGGAGGAATGGTTGCAGGCATGTCTTAGCAAATGGGATGATAGCCGCCCCCACCCCACCCAAATTGCCTGTGCTCCTTGTGGAACATAGAAGTACTGGTCAGCTGAAGTAGCCACATACTAGTAAACCTGGACAGGAGACACAACTCAGCCAAATTTTCTGAGGACCGAGAACCAAATGGCTGAGTGCTTCCCTTTCCACTCCACACCATGAAACTGTAAATTCCTGGGGTTAGGGATTCTAGAAATGAGAGAGGCTAACTACCCAACTCCCAGCAGCGATTTTTCAACTGGTGTCCATGTTTTAAAACATGCACTACCTGACTATTTAGTCAGGGGCACTGACTTCTTTTCCCTTAGATTGTCGAATAAAAAAAGGACAACAACCAATACAACAATAGCCATTGGTGTAAATGTCCTGTCTTGAACCATAAATATGTAGGCTATATAGTAGAGCTGTATCTTATTGGTCATGTGACATAATAACGTTGTGTATGATTGGTTAACTTTGGTACCAGAAATCCTTATATACAAGTAAAGACACTTGATTTTTTTTTTTAAATCGCTTTGAAAAAAAGGGTAGGTAATTACTATTACTATTTTTTTGTAAGTCAATCAAAATTACACCTATTTTTTTGTCAGATCAGCAACAAATAATTTTAGTAATTAGTTTATGTGTGCCATGAGATGAAACAGGTTGAAAATTGCTGGATTAGAGATTAGGCGTCTACTTACTAGCTAAGTCATTATATACAAATCATTGATAGGTGACAATTTTTTACACACTTGAGTTTATGGACTGAAATTAAAGAGAAAACCACAGGTTCAAAATGGTGTCACTTTTGGTAAAAGCCCATTTACCAAACTAATCAAATTGCAGTTTCAACCTTTCCCAGAAATGTGCTCTTTAATCAATCAATATGGAATTTTCTGGTCAAGCACCAATAATCTGTCACATGGGCCCTCTTTGATCCCCCATAGGAAGAAGAGGCAATGGGTATGAGAAAAACCCCTCACCATTTCCTTTCCCCAAACAATACATAACTAGTCTAAAAATAATCCACACTTTTGTTATTGTTAATAGTTTCTTTGCCCCATCCATCTTCCTACACCTTCCACTTTGTACACCTCCAAGCACATACTTCCAGTTGCTAGATGGGATGCTGCCCAGATTCATGAATAGCTTTAAAAAATCAATTAGATCTTCAAATTTACTCAGTTGAATTTTATTTAACACTTCTCATGAAATTTTGCAACTTTTGAAGTGAAGGTGCTGAGGAAGGCACTGACCTTGTTCATTTCAGCTCTTCTGAGAAACTTTGCCCTCCAACTCCCAAACCCAAAGCAGTACCTCTGTTCCCAGCCCCATCCTGCCTACCACATACCACCGAAAGCAAGCAAAAGCCAAAACCCTGTCAGTTTACAAGCCTTCTGAAAGGGGTAGTTGGCAGCCTGGCTAGTGTTACAGAAAGCCCCAAGGCAGGCACTGTGTGTACTCGTGGCACATCAATTTTGCTCAAAGATTTGGGAAAATGTTTTTATAGTAAAAGAAAGTAGGTTAAATTGTGGAGTAGAACTCCTAGTTCACACTTTTAAAAATGATGAAATTCCAGACTTCAGAGAAACTCCTTTCTTGCAGGAGAGAGAGCCTCCCTGTTTCAGAACCCCATGTGGCTCTCCACGAGAATTCGAGCAGGACTCTATTGTAGAACCATTTGAGCATGGCTGGCCCTGCGCCCAGCCTGGCTCTGGGCCTCTCCCTGGCTTGGGCGGCAGCTCCCCACATGAGTATCGTGTTCCTGTTAATATCTCCTCACGTTTCTAAACTCACAGCTTGTCAGCGCTGGAGAGCTTGAGAGCTACTGCCAGGTTCCCGCTCGCTGGTTTCACAAAAGGAAATGAAGAATCAGCAACTTTTAAGGACTTGCCTGGGTGGGTGGGGGTTGGGGGGCATCCAGGTTTCCCAGGCCAGGGATCTTCCCAGAATCCTTAGCTACCTCCATCCTTTAATCCTGCAGGAATTTGGGACTCCAATGTATGTGCAAAGAACCTCACCCACACACTCTGGGACAATTCTTTACTCTACAATTCTATCCTTAGGAGCCCTGCCTCTCCAGGACTGGAGTGTCTGGCGCCGTGAGGATGCTTAGAAAAGTTTGGGGAATGAATGACTGCTGGTTGCGAAACAAATGCATCAGTCCCAGGGGCTGGTGGAGGAGAGATGGTTGGATGGGAGGAGGGGATGAGATTTGCTCCGCACCTCCTCCTGCGGGCATTAGAGAGAGTCTGGGATCAGGGTCGGAGGACTGGAACCGGTCTGATTCAAGGCGCAGAAGCATAAACGCGCGTTCTCCGCCGCCCCACCTCCCCCCGCTCCCCGCCCACGATCCTCCGGCGGGGGCGCTCGGGAGCCGGCAGGCTGGTGCAATCTCCTGCACGCCTTGCATGGATCAAAGAAAAGGCTGAAACAGTAAACCCAAGGGAGAGCTACGGTTTCCGGCCCCGGCTACTGAGCTCGACCAATGGGGATGCAAGTCTCATTAAGAGGACCAATCGGAGCAGGGCCTGTTATGGCGCAGGCCAATCGGGGACGCCCGCTAGGCACTGGGAGAAGGCCGAGGGTACGCGCCAGCGACACACTAGCGCAGCCCGAGCAGCCGGTTCTCTTCTGCTGACTCGCCACACGTGCCGCAGCACCATGGACGCCCCGAGGCAAGTGGTCAATTTCGGGCCCGGACCCGCCAAGCTGCCGCGCTCGGTAAGTCCTAGCGATCGCGCACGGAAAGTGCAGTCCGGGCGTGAGCACGCGTGCGAGTGGCTGAGCATCCTGCGCGGGGAGTTGTGCATCTCCTCGTGGGGCGCTGGGATCCCCGCTGCCGCTTTGAGTCCCGCGAACGCTCTTCACCAGCGTACACCCAGTTCAGGATCTCTCGCAGATGGGCTTCTGGGAAAATACACTTGGGGGAAGAAGCTCGGGAGGCATGCCCGCGCAGCTGCTCCGAGGCATGCACGATTTGCCTCGCCGGAGCGTTGCTGGCACGTCGTGGTGCACACCTGGAGACGCCTGCGGACTCTCAGGCCCGGGCGTGGGCACGGCGGAAAAGAGAAACCTCTCGTTCCGCGTTCGCCTAGCGGGGCAGTACAGCGAGCCAGGCAGTGCTGAGTGAATGCATGAATGGGCACTGGGTGCATGAATGGGCACTGGGTTCATGAATGGCGAATGGGGATCGCGTTAACCGGAGGGGATTGCAAACTGGAGGACCACGCATGGCTGCCCGTAAACAGTGTTTGGGTTAGCCAGCACTCGGGAACATGGCTTTTTTTCAAAATGTTAATTTGAAAGTCTTCCAATGCCTCCTTCTCACCCTCAGAACTACCCTAAATCCTTTTTGTCCGGTTTTTTTTTTTGTTTGTTGTTTTTTGCGCGTAGATTTTTAAAAGTCGTATTGACCCCCTCCACCCCGCAAAGCCCAAAGACATTAGAGTATTCCTACTCTGGTAGGCCTCTGGCTGCTAGCCCAGTCCGCTTCACTTTGTTCTGGAGCAAATGATGAATGATTACATTCTCCCCCGGGCCACAGCAGACCTTCCAAATGCAAGTGGCACTCACTCTCTCTCTCTCTGCCTGCCCAACCTCCAGCCAGGTGCCAGGTGGCTGCCGCCCCGCCCCGTCCCAACCCGTAGCAGCTGTGAAGCAGACGAAGTCTCTGATGTGACTTGAACGCGTGGACTATCTGTACCGCTACTGTTAGATTTTTATTTTTCAACCAAAATGACTGATAATATGTTGTAGCAACATGGGTCGCCGCCAAATGCTTTACAATTATCTTTTGTTGAACAGGGCAGAAAGCTCCCTGGGACAGAGCCTCCTCTGTATTGTAAGAACAGGGAATCTTACAATTTTCGATGGGAAAGGACATCTTAACTTTTCTATGGGGAGCGCTCACTAGCTAGAGAACAGGACTTATTTTTTCTCTCTCGGCTATTGCAATCAGTTTTAGGCGAGATTCTTTGCTAGAGCTGTGGAAATGTTTCCTGTAGGAGGCCTCCTCACCCTTTTCCCTTCTTCATCTTTTGCATTCAGTATTACTCCCTGTGAAATTTGTTATGCATTTATTATAATGGCAGCTGTCATCATTAATACAGTTATTTTTTTATTATTTATTTTCTGGGTAGGATTTTTGCCCTCAGATGAGCCCTGTAACGTGTGTGGTGGTCGTGGTGGGGGCTTTGTATGTGACTTGATTTAATTGAATTAAAAGGATTAAAGAAGCTTTTCAAACTTTGAATGTAATCACAATGGAAAACATTTTATATGATGACCAAGTACATGTATATGTACTATAACTAAAACAAAAGCCTTAAGAAATAGCCTAATTAGCTACAACATACACGATTTATATTCTATTCCACTCTAGTTCGTTCAATTTCATTAAAAAAATTCGTTGTGACCCACAAAAGCATTCTGCAGTTTGAAAAAAATAAACTCCACTGGATTAAAGGGCTGTGCTTTATGGGTGGAAGTCTTAAAACACTTGTAATGATTTTTGATATAAACTTATAGGTGTCTTCAAAGAATACTTACTATCTATAAGAGAAATACAGTTTCAAACAGAAGTTCATGGATGATTCTATCTCAGATGGGTGCTTCTGTTTTTAGAGGGAAGGAGCCACTAAAGTTTATTTGATCAGCCAGTGCTAATAAGCACCCAACAGTTTGCGAAACAATGATAAATTCTTGAACCTCCTTTTCAATGGAATCTTTTTTTGTCTGATTCTTTATTGTTCAAATCTTGTGTCTTCAGACAAGCTGAAATCCAGTTTAGATGGTTTAATGTCCTCCTTAGCCTGTATCTTGAAAAGAAACCATCTCTGAAGGCTGGATGCTTCTACAGAGGTCTTACCTCACCTGTTCTGTGCATGTTTTTTGAACTTTTCTTTTTCTCTTTTTACTTTGTGGTAGTTCTCACATACACAGAAGTAGAGAAGCCATTGGTCCATCTCTGATATTGAACAACGTTGGACATTTTTCCCATCTCGTTTCAGCCACCCCCTTGCCCTCCCCCTTCCACACCACCTTTCTCCCCTCCTGCCCCAGGATCATGTTAAAGCCAATGGAGATATCAGTTATTTAACTCATAAACATAACAGCATGCATCTCTGATAAGGGTTTACTGTCTTTAAAGAAAAAAAAAGAGGTACTTTTCTTATTTTCATTTTACTTGCCTTTGGGAAACAAAAGACAATGCATTTATTATAATGGCAGTTGTCATCCCTAGCTAGGAGCTGCCTTTGCAAAGGAGAGGTTTAGGAGAGAGTTAGTTGCAGCCCTCATACTCCCCTCCTTCCCATTTCCTGACACTGGGATTGGCCCTAACCCGGCCCTGCTTGCCCTGTTGCCCCTGTGAGACTGACTGTGGTGATGATGCGACTGCAGTGATCCTACAAGATAGGCAAGAGGCTCGCCAGGGCATACAGAGTTGTCATCAGAAAAATTGTATACTTGGTCATTTTCTTTTAAATCCAATTAAAAAAATATTTTTATTGACTTCAGAGAGGAAGGAAGAGGAGGAGTTAGATAGAAACATCAATGATGAGAGAGAATCCCCTGATGGGGATCTAGCCCGCAACCCATGCATGTGCCCTTGACCGGAATCGAACCCTGGACCCTTTGGTCCTGTTAACGTAAAAAACCATTGAAACCTGTAAATAATTTTTGTGAGTTTATTTGAGCCAAACTGTCGACCATATGTCGGGAATTTAGGTTGTGCCAAAAGGGGTCCAGAAAAAGGGAAGTTACAAGCTACCCAGACATTTCAAAGGGTATGCCATTATAGATGCAAAAAGACAGATAGGCTCAGTGAAGGTGAAGGTTGACCTTGTCAGTGAAGATACCTGCCTAGGGTGTAACTACCCACCATAACTGCTTTTAGTTAAAGTGTAATTTCAGACCATCCTCTGTGGTTACTTTAGGTCTCTGAGTTTGCAAGACCGCCATGCAGGCCTCCCCTGAGCTTGTCAGGTCAGCATGTGGCCCCTTTCTACCATAGTCCGCAGGCTCTACCCACTGAGCCAAACCAGCTCGGGCTCCAATTTATTTTTATATCTAAGTTAATTCAAACCTTTGGAAAAACTATCATAGCATCAATCACATTTGGTGATTTCACACTCTTGTGAAAATTGGGTCTTCTGGGCTCTGTGGGTAGAGGTCCTACCTCACAGGTCCTAGGGTCAGCTCCCCTTCCAGGCCCCTCCCCACCCCCAGGTTTGTATGTCCAGCGGGAGAGCTGTGCACACAATACTCAAATCACCTATTTTATTTTGTGTTTTTTTTTTTCTAGGTACTGTTAGAGATACAAAAAGAATTATTAGACTACAAAGGCATTGGGATTAGCGTTCTTGGTAAGATTTACTTAACTTTAGTTGCATGCTGGTTGGAAGCAATTTTGAAATCAACATAAACAAATGCTGGTGAGATTTCATACATCTCAGCTATGGTTTTGCTAGTCATAGAGTCTGAGACCTGGAGGTTCTTACTGTACATTTGCATACCCATGTCCCAAATATTTATAATATAACTTCATGTTCATTTTCTTTTTCCTACACTTAAAAATGAACTTAAATAAAAGTTTAAAAGTACACAAGGTTCTTATGAAGATCTTACCTATTAATAATTTCATTAAGATTCTCTTCTTTATATTATTGGAGAAGAGAACCTTTGAGTTCTAAAATTTACTTTATGTTTATTTATTTATTTTCCTTATAGTTCCAAAGGCTACACAGTATTAAGAGACCGTAGGGTTAACAGTATGCTCATTGCTATTAAATATTGTTGCTGTAGGTTTTGGGACTTATTCTTAGGTATCTGTGAGGTGAGAGTATAGTGTAGAATTTTGTGCTATTGTCCCAGAGGGCAAACATTGCACACAGGCTCATGTTAGTGATAAAGGTGAGAAATCACAGGCTGAAACTGCCACTTGAAAAGTCATTCTGCTATGATATGAGGCTATAGTGCTTGCAATATGAAGATCATTTAGGTTTTCCCCTAAATGAACTTGAATGCAAAATAACTGAAATTTCTACTTATTCTATTACTTGCAAATCTTGTTCTTTTTTCTGAAGTTACTTGTGTTCATTTGGTTTTGAACTGGAACTTATTTTGTTGTTTATCTTTCCCTCACAGAAATGAGCCACAGGTCAGCAGATTTCGCTAAGATCCTTAACAACACAGAGAATCTTGTGCGGGAATTGCTGTAAGTTTAAAGTTTTAAGACCAAACGGCATTACTTTTGTTTCATGACATATGTACCTGGGTGTTTGTTACATTATTTTCTATACTCTGTTGTTTAGAATATTCTATAAGTAAAACTAGTCTTATTAAGGTGTTCCCAAAGCCACTAAATTATTCCCCATCTTGCACTTATGTGTTTTTATTTTATGTAGTATTTCCAAAGATTTGAAATGGTCATATCTTTCCCAGAAGTTCAGCTGGCCTAAAAGGGATTGAAATGACAAAGAGATATCTTGTCATCTTATCAGCATTACTAACTTCTAGGTCACTGAGTCTGGAAGTCTGGTCCTTGTACTGCCTATCAGAATTACCTGAGGGGAAGGGGGAAGTATTAAAAAATGTAAATGCTGGGCCCCATCCAGAACTGGTGTCAAAATCTCTATAGAAATGTCATTTTGACAGGCTCTTTGGGTTAACTCCAGAAACTGCCGCGCTAGGTTACCCCCCTCCTAGGCTACCTGTACTGCTTTTCTTTTTTGTTTTGGTAATGCTCACCTGAGGATATTCTTTCCATTGCTTTTCAGAGAGAGTGGAAGAGAGTGGGGAGTGGGAGAGAAAAAACACACATAGATGTGAGAGAGACACATCGACCAACTGGTTGCCTCCTGAAAGCACCCTGACCAGGAGGGGGCAGGGAGCAATCCAGGTACCTGCCCTTGACCGGGAATCAAACCCGAGACCCTTCTGTCCGTGGGCTGACACTCTAACCACTGATCAACCGGCCAGGGCTGTACTGCTTTTCTTATCCAGAGGAAACTTTATTCTTAAATCTCCATGGGCTGACACTCTAACCACTGACCAACCGGCCAGGGCTGTACAGCTTTTCTTATCCAGAGGAAACTTTATTCTTAAACACATTTCTGTTTAAAGGAGAGGTTTTATAATATCAAAATATGAACAGAAAAGAATATGGTAACCTTGGAAACGCACACTTTTTTTTTCCTGCTCACAAAACTAGTGCACATTCAAGATAGAAACTTTAGAAAAAATAAACTCACAAATTAAACTGGACTTGTCTATAACCCCACTAGTCAGGAATAATCATTGTTAATGTTTTAGGGTCCATTGCATTCTTTTATTAACAAAATTGGAATTGTACTGACTGTTTCATTACTTTCCTTCTAAATTGCCTTGATAAATGCTTCAGAAGGATTTCCAATGTCCACTTGGTTCATAGCATGGACCAGCACATCAATATTTTTAGGACTTTTGGTTGCAAAGGACAGAAGCCCAACTCCTAGCTTAACCAAAAAAAAAAAAGAAATATATTGGGC